GGGGGGGTGTTAGGACGAATCTATGGGCCCTGATGAGAGAAGTTAAGAAAGAGATATGATCCTGAATTTATACTCAGAGTAGATGACATCAAGACGAGACTGAGAGATTAGGAAAAAATTAGATTGTGAAATTAAGAAATTGGGATGGCTGGAGATCATAGGGTGAGATGAGACAAGTTGAGACACGAGACTTTAAGTGAAGAGTAGAAATTTAACTGAGAAGAGAAGAGAAGAGGGAGATCTGCCAGTTGTCAAGTATGTTACCTATGGTGGTGATGACACTGCTGAGATAGCCGGACACCATCAGAGACTGAATAAAGGTGAGGTAACACATGCAGAACAGAAAGCAGCGCGAGTCCGACAGGATCACGTCCACATAGCGCCTCACCGGCACCGGCGGCAGCCGGAATGTAAAGAGCGCAGCAACGCCGCGACCCTCCGGCTCACGACACTCTGTCCTGACGGGGGAGCCGCACCGGGGCGAGCTGTGCGGGGCGGAGAGCAGAGTCTGATCCGCGTCCTGCTCCGGAGCCTGACTGTCGCTGAGCACCGGGAGGCTCTTAGATTTCAAACCCTGAGTAGACTCCTCACACAAGTACGGGAACTGTTTCGTGGGCGCGAGGCCCCCTCCAGCACCGGATGCCATCCTGACGGGCAGCGGCTATCCAACCCGTTTATAAACGCTGTAGAGACGCAGACATTCTGCGCTGGCTCATTTACAAAACCCCTTAACAGATACTTATAAACATATAGGCTTTATAACAACTATATATAAGCACGCTCTTTGTTTGTTTACAGCACCATTTTCATTTTCTATTCGACACATATTCACCAAAACAACACAATGAATCGACGGTCGACCTGCAGCTGAGGGCTCACGCGCTTCTGATCGGATACTGCAGCGCGCAGAGCGCGCGCTCGGCCGCATCACACGCGCGCATTCTGTCCCGTTATCTGCGCCAGATAAATAACCACGATTAATTCCACAGGCGCCGTTAAACGGTAATCTATCGCCTCCCTCTGCTAACGGCTCCGACACACCATCAGATCTTCGCCGTGTGATCAAAATATCCTTGTCCTTGGACGGAGGGGGTAGCACGGGCTGGCCGTTATTCACGGTATAGCTGTAAGCAGTAGCCTATCGCCTCCAAGAGCATTCGGTCTGTACCGCAGCGGGTACAAGTAAATAAACGTTAACTTCCGGTTCACGATGAGGGCAAATACTAAAGATGGATTTAATTAAAATGAATTTAAAATTACACAAACGCTTTTAGGCTGGTTGGCTGAAACAATGTCCTCTACTTACAAATAAAAAAAATAAGGCAACATTTTAGAAAACAACAAGCTGTCAATCAATGATCATTTATTTAAATACATTTGTTAAAGATATTTGCACATTTGATTAACAGTGGTTTAGCAGAACACAATTAATTAATGAAATGCTTCAGCCATTAAACATCTCAAATAAAAGGGGTGTACAGCATTTAAAATGATAAAATGTTACACATTAAAGGTGCACTTGTTATTTTTCTCTGATTAAATAATTACAGCTATAGAAAGGAATTGTACTTTTGAAAAATATGTTTAGAATCATTTACACTGATATGATATTCCAGTTATATAATTAGCCTCATAAAAGCTGCTTTATTTTACATTTACATGTTATTGTACAGTCTCTTGTGGAATAAATACATTTTTGTTGACTGAAGCGCATACTAGTGTTGGGCGGTATGCTCTGTAGTCATATCGTCAGCCTGTGAGATCGCCGATACACGATATTATCGTTTTAATTTAATTAATTACTTACTTAGTTAGTTTCATAGCTGGAGAGTGAACCAACTCCAGGATAAGACTAAAAGCAGTCTAATGTTAGTGTAATTATCATAAAATATTTTTAATATGACTGAATTTGTACTTAACATGATCACAGTTTAATAAAGTATATGTTCAGCTAATTGTCAGCCTCTTACATGTGTGCTTCTCATAATTAGTGAATATGTATTTAAACAGCCTTTTAATTAACAGAGCAGAATAATCATGGCTGATAGTAAGGCATGCAAACATAAAAGAAAACCAAAGTGGATGCAAGAACAGCCGTTACTTCTTGCCCAGCTGGTTAATGAATACAAAGATATAATCAAAGGAAAATTTGGAGTTGGGATAACCTCCAAAACCAAAGGTGATACCTTTTTAAAAGCTCATTATTGTCAAATGTTTCAAAAATGTTTATATTCAGAGGCAGATTGCTAGCAACAGCCATTTTAGGATAGTTTGTGGCTTGGTCTTAGTGACTTCGGAGTCCTAAATTTTTGCTCTAAGAAACTGAATTTAGGACTGACGCTCATTATTTTTAAGGTTTTCTCCTAAATCGCCGAGTTATGAGCTACTTTTAGCCTTAAGATGTTTTGTAAATACGGGTGTCAAATGTTTCAAAAATGTTTATATTCAGAGGCAGATTGCTAGCAACAGCCATTTTAGGATAGTTTGTGGCTTGGTCTTAGTGACTTCGGAGTCCTAAATTTTTGCTCTAAGAAACTGAATTTAGGACTGACGCTCATTATTTTTAAGGTTTTCTCCTAAATCGCCGAGTTATGAGCTACTTTTAGCCTTAAGATGTTTTGTAAATACGGGCCTAGGTTTGTGCCAGAATGGCGAACGTAAATTTGCGAAGCGCAAACAAAAACATGGAAAGCGAAAACGAAAACACTGGCAGCGCATTCAAAACTGCGTTTAGCGAAAGTGAAGCTGAAAGTGAAGTCAACAAAGAATGCAGTTTATTTGAAGACGATGTTACTTTTTTTTGCCATTTAGTTGATTGTTTTTATTTTCAGTGTTTTTCCCATTTATCAATGTATATTTTTGTTCGTTTTCGCAAAAGTTTCGTTCGTTTTATTTGCCACAAATCTGATCCCATACACTTTGTTGTTTATGAGAGAATTCGTGAGAGAGCAGAATTCAGTCTGCGAGCGCTCACTGAACAACAAAACTCTGGTGTTCCAGTGATGACTCATCGGAATGCCTCCGATTGGCTGCTGCATTCATAAACTCAACGGAATCGTGTGTGATTAGTTATAACGCGCAACACTGTAAAAATGCGGAACAATAAATATGTTAAGGCAATTTGGAAAAATGGGTCTGCTAAATAAATGTAAATGGCCTCCTATCAGAGCAGGTTTTCACAGAAGGTCACCATTTGAAAAAAGTGACTAGTCCCAGTGTCCCCTTAAGTCCATTTCACTTCACTGGGAACCTTATATTAGTCACTGTGGGTGATGAGTGTGTGGGGTAAAAAACTGTCACAAATTGCTCTTCCATTTCTTCTCATTTGAGCCTTCAGCTGCAGGGAAACAAAAATGAATGTTAACACAGTCAGACAATAGAGCACATTTGCACACACAGACATGCACAAATAAACACCTGCATGCATGCACACACTCACACATACCCAGGCAGATCTTTCCTTCCTTGTGGAGTTTCTTTAAATGGTGCAGCAAGTTAAACTCTGCAGCTTTGTGCAGGTGTTCAGGGGTCTCCTGGCATACATACAACAACAAAAAGCACATGAAAATCATGTAATGTACACGGTTTAGAAAATAATAACTTAACATTTATATAAATAATGTACTCTCATTCTTTGCACATTGTCTGTTAAAGCAGTCACCACTTAAACAGAACCAACAAATGTAAAGTTAACTTCACATACAACGGGGAACAAGCATCTGAGACCACTGGTGAAAATGTGTTTCTTTTGCAGTTTTAGGATTTCATACAAATGTTTTCATTACAATTTGCATTATCAGCATAACAAATCAAGGGAAATTTGAATTTATAATATAAACATGACTTTCAGAATGCCATGTGGATTGTCCCCCGTCTGGACAAAGGAGTTCACAAAGTCACATATTTGTATTTATGATTATGATCTAGATCTAAATACTTTTTTTTTTTTAAATAAAAAGTTCAATGTCTTATACGTTTGGTACACACTGTTGTTTCCTTTTCTCTCCTTGTGGACTGCAGGTTTTACTGTGTCAAAATTGTATTAAAATTTATTAAATACTAGAAATGTAAATGCTTTTGGATTTATTCTAATTAAAGAGCTAAGATCATTAAAGATCAGAAAAGAGTTGAACCTTGTACACCACTTTAACCAGTTCGCTGGAGGTGAACGCAGTTCTGTTGTTCTCCTGCAGAACGTTTAGGATCTGCTGTTCTCTTGCATTGCGGTGAGTTATATACTCACAGATCTTAGAAAAAGCATCTTGGACCACTGGACCATGACCTGACACACAAATACAAACATTTCTTAGTGTCACTGAAAATGTGATGTAGAAAGCACTCTTGACAAAAAGCACATGTACTTACCTGGATATATGAGGTCAGCCTTCATGCTGAGGAGCTTCTGCAGTGACTTCATGTAATCATGGAGGTCCTCAAACACAGCCGTTCCCTCTCCTAGAATACAGTCACCTGAAAACACAGCTTGCTCCTCCTCCAGGAATAATGCCATGTGATCATCTGTGTGTCCAGGAGTAAACAGCACCCTACGTGCACATAAAAAATAAAAACAAACTTGCTCAAAACAAAAGAAACAACTACAGTGGGGGAAATATTTATTCGATCCCCTGCTGATTTTGTAATAGGTTTATTTTAATGTATAGAGACAGAATATAAACCAAAAAATCCAGAAAAAACACATTATATAAAGGTTAGAAATTGATTTGCATTTCAGTGAGTGAAATAAGTATTTGATCCCCAAGCAAAACATGACTTAGTACTTGGTGCAGAAACCCTTGTTGGTAAGCGCAGAGGTAAGACATTTTTTGTAGTTGGTCACCAGGTTTGCACACATCTCAGGAGGGATTTTGATCCACTCCTCTTTACAGATCCTCTCTAAATTCTTAAGGTTTCTTGGCTGTCGTTTGGCAACTCAAAGTTTCAGCTCCCTCCACAGATTTTCTATAGGATTGAGGTCCTTAATGTGCTTCTTCTTGAGCCACTCCTTGGTTGCCTTGGTGGTATGTTTCAGGTCATTGTCATGCTGGGGTCTTGCCCATGGTGGTGGGAGAGGTTGGAATGGAAGATACAGATTGTGTGGACAGATGTCTTATACACCTAACAAGCTGACATTAGGAGTAACTTCTTAAAGTGACGGGACTAATCTGTGTTCCACATGGGTACATACCCAATCTGTGGGAGCCAGAATTCTTGCTGGTTGGTAGGGGATCAAATACTTATTTCACTCTATGAAATGCAAATCAATTTCTAACCTTTATATAATGTGTTTTTTTCTGGATTTTTTGGTTGATAGTTTGTCTCTATCTGTTAAAATAAACCTACTATAAAAATTACAGACCTTTCATTTCTTTGTAAGTAGGCAAACTTTAAAAAATCAGTAGGGGATCAAATAAATATTTTCTCCACTGTAACTACTGTTTTTTAATTATAAACTTAGACACTAATCCGCCCAATGCATTTATGTAAATACAGGCTTTTAAGGCTCAGGATGTGTGTGAATAAACATTCTATTTTATTCTACATTACTGTTCAAAAGTTTGGCATCAGTATAATTTTTTTCAAAAAACTAATACTTTTGTTCCGCAAGGATGGATTAAATTGATCAGAAGTCAAAGTAAAGTGATTAATTGTCACAAAAGAGTTCTATTTCAAGTAAATGCTGTTTTATCAAACTTTCTATTCATCAAAAAATGCTGAAAAAATGTATTATGGATTCCACAAAAAAGCACAACAGTTTTCAACATTGATAATAAAAAAGAAATATTTCTTGAGCTTCAAATCAGCATATTATAATGATTTCTGAAGGATCATGTTTGGAGAAAAAATTCAGCTTTGCCATCACAGTTTTTCGGTTTTAAAAAACAGTTTTTTAAAATTGCAATATTTCACCATTTTACACCGTATTTGTTCAAATAAATTAATCTTTGGTGAGAATATAAGAAACTTTAAAACAATGTAAAAAATCTTACCGACCTCAAACTTTTGAGTGGTGGTGTATAAATATGTAAGCATAATCAAAGACTATCATTTACAGAATATGTGTGTGTGTGTGTGTGTGTGTGTGTGTGTGTGTGTGTGTGTGTGTGTGTGTGTGTGTGTGTGTGTGTGTGTGTGTGTGTGTGTGTGTGTGTGTGTGTGTATTTACCGTAATGTTGCCCCTTCAGTCTTTATCACATCACCATCACTGAGATATGAATATTTCTTCTTCTGGTCTCCAATCACTTCTTCCTGTGGAGGGCACCGAGGGAGTTTACTGACCCTCAGCTCTGAATCTGCAACACATGCGGATTATGGAGGATTTCTCATAGACAATTGTTTTCATTCTAAGATTATGACATTTCAGTCATTCTTGAGAAGTGGGACAAAACAGGGTGCAAAATTGAAAAATTAAAACCTTGTACTCAGACAAATGAAACTACATTTATGTATCTTATATGTACTAAGCTACTGAGCTATGCTTTGATACAACCTCCCAACTTTTCTCTTTTTTAACAAAATGTGATTTTTTTAGCTTGGACTGTGTAATATAATTTCAGCTTTATCTTTAACAGCATTCAAGATGTTTTTAACATTTCAATAGCAGTTACCCTTGCTGGACCTGTTTTGTCCCATGTCTCAAGAATGACTGATTTACATTTACATTATTAAGCAATAGCGACGAGTCCTTAAAATTTAAATTTCACATATTTAGGGCACAGATGTCAAAACCTGTAGACAAACAGACATATTATTCACCTGTGTGAAAGTTTGTGAGTATCTCCGGCACTCCTCCAGTGTGGTCGTGATGCCAGTGTGTGACTATAATGTGCTTTATGGACGTCTCCTGCTGCTTCAGTGCCTTGCGCAGGTTGACAATATACTCCGGTACCGCGCGCTCGCCTGCATCAATCAACACTCGCCTGACACACACACACACACACACACAGGTTTACATTTGTGAAAAGTGGGGACATCCCATAGGCGTAATGGTTTTTATACTGTACAGACCGTATATTCTATTGCCCTTTACCAACCCTACCCCTAAACCTACCCCTTACAGGAGACTTTGTGCTATTTCAGATTTTCAATACACTCCATTCTGTGTGATTTATAAGCGTTTTGCAAAGTGGGGACATGGGGTAATGTCCTGAAAAGTCACCTTCTCCTTGTAATACCTATGTCATACCTTTGTCATTATACAAATTTATGTCCTCATTTGTCACAAAAACGCGTACACACACACACACATTAAACATTCGCAGACTTGTTACGTTCAATAACTCAAACAAGCACATTTATCTCGTGCACTGGTTCACGCGTAATTTTGTCGGAGTGTTGTAACTTTACCTCCTGCCTGTCCCGACCAGGTATGTGTTGGTGCCCTGCAGTGTCATGGGCCCCGGGTTACAACCCAAAACACGCACCACTCTCGATGACAGCTGCTCGATACGAGGAATTATCGAGGACATTTTCACCAGGACCACACAGACACAGCACGAACTTTAAGACCCCTGAAAACGCTCCTGCTACAGAGCAGACTGATGACACTGAAACTTCCTTCTTCTTCTTCTTTGGGTTTTAACAGCAGCTTGCATCCTTAACGTTGCATTACTGCCATCTTCTGGTTCTAGTTATTTCCTATATACTTTAGTCATCATATTCTTGTCACGAGTCCCGTTTTAGTAAAAAGGCAAATCAAATATTTCCTTCCTTGTTCACTCCTACTGCAGTCCATTATATTCTTTACTCCACGTCCTGCAGTGGTGGAAAGAGTACTGAAAAAATATACTCAAGTAAAAGTACCATTACCTTCCAAAAAATGTAGTGTGAGTAGAGTAAAAGTACTTGTCCAAAAAACTACTTGAGTAAGAGTAAAAGAGTAGCCTATTTAAAAGTACTCATGAGTATTGAGTAGTGAGTACTGAGCTGTGGATTCTTCCCCCTCATAATAAACGCTGTACACCGCAATTGATACATTTTAAAAACGTGGTACATTCTGTAATTCACATTCTCTTGTTTGTCATAAAGAATGAAGAATATCTATTATCCAGCAGTTTTAATTTTGACTGCCTGTCTACGTCACTATGTGGGAAGATTTGCATAACGCCGCCCAGATGTTCACGCTGTAGTATTGTTGTTGCCGCAGCCATGTCGTGAAGGCGTTGTGTGATTCGTTGTGAAAGCGAAACTACTTTGTTTGGTCTTCCAAAAGAGGACGATATCCGCTTCGTCATGCCTGGAGCTGATCCGTGCTGGTTGCTGAGGAAATACTACAACTTCGTGCTGTGGATCGCCGGATCGGCTTTCACCGTGGACAAAGTGGAGTCCAGCCTGGGGTCGTCACATGTGGTTGCCGCAAGCCCGCCCGCCGCGCCGTTCTTTAGCCCACTGGCCGCCGCTCACTCTTGCCGGCCGCCGCTAACTCTAGCCCCCGGCCTCTTCTCACTCTAGGCCACCGTGTGTGACTGTGTTTCATTGTGAAAGCGAAACTACTTTGTTTGGTCTTCCAAAAATGGACACGACTAGAAATCAGTGGTTAAGTTGTATTTACAACACTGTTCCAGAACACTTCAACCCAAATATTCAGATGTGTGCAGCGCAATTTATGGAGGACTGTTTTTTTGATCCTGGTAGAGGAGACTACAATGCTGGCTGTTCTGACTCACAGCCTGTAAGTAAGCTTTTTATATTTAAAGCGTTTTTATATTTTATATATTTAAAGCAAGTTTTTTGGGCAGTGTAGAGTAGGACTTGTTGCTCCGGCCTGACAGGGCATCACAGTATGGTGAGGGGCGTAACATTTCCATCACACGATTGAGGTATTCAGCCAATCACAGCGCAACGTGTTTCAGAAAGGCGGGGCATAGAGGAGAAACAATAATGTACAGTATGTGGAAAAGAATGTGTTTTTTGAACCTTAAACCACATAAACACATTTCATTACACCAAATACACAAAATAATGTTCTTTTTAGCAACATCATATGACCCCTTTAATGTTTAGAACAGTGCAAATACAAACACCATTAGAAATTCATAGTTCAGCATCACACACCATGATATGGGTTCAAATGAGAGCCCATTTCTCTCCAAAACGGTGCCAGTTTTAGCGTTTTGCAATAAAGAAATAAAAATAACTAAACTTGATCATTTATGTTACAATTTCAACACAAATGCACATTGTTCTAGAAGGATGGCAAATTGTTATGCTAATAATACAATTTGTAAGGGAAAATGCATTAGATAGCGAGTTATTTCTGGGGAAACTTTTTCAAAGGAAAACACACACGCGCTCTCAGTGAATCTCCCGCATCCACAACTGAACGGAACAAAAAGTGTTGAACTTGAAAATTGTTTATGCGCGAGTTCACTTGCTAAATGAAGGCGGATAGTATAAAATGGATAAAATAAAATAAAAACCCTTTTCACAGCGCGCATCACGCG